GAGCTTAGGGGTCTAGCTATCCGCCCTATAAATATCGTTGCTTTATCTTACTTACTATAAAAATATACATGGTTTGAAACTAGTCACTGTTTCTCTCCATTTCTTTAAAAAAAAATTAAATATCTCGAAAACGGTTAATTTTAAGAATAGGGAAACTCCATAAAAGTCCACCTAAAATAACACGTAGAATCCAAAATTGCAATAATATATAGGGTGTTCCGTTTAAAATAAGCAAGTTGATGGCGATTTCCGGTATAACCGGAAGTGGTACGTGGACACCATTATTTTAGTTGAGAAGGGCATGCCCGAAAACCCGGTATCCCAATTTTTCAAAATTCAAATCGAAGTAGTCTGAAATAATTCTAATGGGCTGTCACCGTGAGACACCCTGTGTACTAAAAAAGCATCGTTTTTGTCACTTTTTTTTTTCTTTGGGAAAGTGTCAAATTTGGCAATCATATATCTATTGCCATTACAAAAATTGGGTTGGTAATATTGAGTTATTACAGCTTCTTTGTTAAACTTTATGATACTTTTTACGTATATCTCTGCAATATCCATGCATTGTTATATTTTTTTCAGATCGCGCCCCTTCCTGCGGCATTATTTCCTGTCGTACATTATTAACGTCGTAATTTAAAATTTTTATCGAATTCCGACAATGCCCGTGCGCTTTTTCCCCGCCACATTCAATACGTCTTTACCTTATTGGTATTTTCCTATTTTCGCATATTTATGAATTGCCAAAACCGGGGGGGCAAACAAATTGAATACAGCCCCATGCATTATACACAAGCGCCTTCGGAGTTCCTGACGATATCTAGTCTTCGATAACGGCTATTTAAATATTAAACATCCAAATTGGGGCGCCCTTATGAGGCGTTCGATATTTTCGAACATATTTCGGCGCGCGCGGAAGAAAATTGGATTCAGATAAAACGCGAAAGAGAGTTTGTCGCCAGCAACGTACAGGGTTATTGGATATAAAAGTCAACACACTTGACTTTTTTCATTTTTAAGTTTAGAAAAAAATGTTATATAAGAAAGTAATGGGTGTCTTAAAATTCATGCAAGATTTGAATTTTGCGCCATTTGTATAAGGCACGTGATTCTCGAGCGTAGGCAATCAACAATTCACGGTTGGTAAGATCAATTGAAAATCTCTAAACCTCAGTGGAGTGATTGAAGGGGCCACATGTAATTAAATAAAATTGTTTTTAAAACTGATTGACATGAACTATCGATATTAAACTTAATACCTATAATTAAGTATTACATACTTCCGAAACATACTTTTGTTTTTCCATTAAAATACTTTTAGCTTTATTAAAAGGAGAACTATCAAACTTCACTTGGTAATGACAAATTGCAAATCTTTACTAAGAAAGCAAAATGAGTATGATCTGAACCTATAACAGTTTATTATTTTTATTTAGATACAGAGTAAAATAAACATAGAAAAGTTACATTAATTTACAAACCATTGCTCTTCGCTGCAAATTCAAATTCATAAATTAGTAACCCATATTGCCAAATTTGCCATAAAGCATTACATTGTGTTATTATGCCTTTCACTAGCTATCCACAAGTTTACTCTCTTGTGCATATTTTCATACACATTTTGCAGTTGTTGTTCTGTTATATTCTCGACATCGCCACACAAACACCTAGTTTTAAGGGATTGAAACCGGTTTCTGCAAATGCGTGCAGAATTTTTGCAGCCCAGGTTCTATAATTTTGGCTATATACATAACCTAAAATGTGAAACCATGCTTGTCAGTAAAAAAAAACGACGAATTTAACAAATTACACAGCTACACCAAAAAAAGTTGGCTGTACTTTTCATGCGACATATGTTATCTGGTATCAGAACTGAGCTATCACATCACAGGAATTTCCTAACCTCAAAAAACAGGTCAAAAATAACAAAAATTCAGGAAAAAGTGCTAGGAAAAATACAATTTTTTTATCTATATACTAATATTCATTTATATGGATAAGACCCCGCTGAACGTGAATCCGCAGTCAGAATTGGTGGTTCGTTTTCTAACCTCAAAAAAACGGGTCGATTAAGATCAGATATCACGAATTTTTTAAAAAATAACAGATTCGTGCCGAATTTGGAATATGGAGGTTTTCGGAGTTGTTGATAACAGATCCGAGGTCAATTGTGCAAAATTCAGGATGGCGGATCCAAGACGGCCGACCAAATTTTCAAAAAATAACAAATTCGCTCCGCCAAATTTGGTATACGGGGGTTTTCGAGGTCGCTGATTACGAATTGCGAAATTCATTTTGTAATATTTTTGCTTATTTTATAACTTGAGTTTCCAATCATGTTCTAACCTTATTTTTTCGGCTATATCTTGTTCTGTTTCTGTAAAATATCTATTCTCGAGTTTTCTGCCTAATCTCAAGTAATAATGTAATTGATTAAATATTTAAAAACGAATTTTGTAAATCTAATCTCGGATTCGTAATCAGTGACCCCGAAAACACCCGTACACCAAATTTGGCACGAATATGTTATTTTTTGAAAATCTGATCAGCCATCTTGGATCCGCCATCTTGAATTTTGCAAAATTGACCTCGGATCCGTGAACCCGAAACCCTCTGTATACGAAATTCAGCGCGAAACTTTTTTCTTTAAATTCGTGATAATCTGACCTTAATTGACCCGTTTTTTTGAGGTTAGAAAAAGAACCATTAATTCTGACCGCGAATTCACGTTCAGCGGGGTCTTATCTATATAAATAAACATTTGAATATTGAAAAAAAAATTGTTTGGATTTTTCCTAGCACTTTTTCGTGAATTTTTGCTATTTTTAACTTGTTTTTTGAGGTTAGGAAATTTATGTGATGTGATAGCTCAATTCTGACACTGGATTCGTGATCAGGAGGCAAAAATACTACGGATAACATATGTCGCATGAAAAGTACAGACAACTTTTTTTTGTGTGGTTGTGTATTCATGGTTTCTATACAGGCCGTTTGTAAATAAGTGCGAAATATTTTAGAGGATGGTTGCTGAAGTTATTTTGTGAAAAAAATTCATATAGACGTATGTCGAAATATGCTTCGCTTCCGAGATACAGTGTTTAAATTTTAATTTTTTATTTATTTTTAGAGTTTTAAAGAGATTGACTCGAAATTTGAAACACGCTTTGGAGGGATAAATGGGTATTTATTTTTGGGGTGATCCAAATATTTCTACTTGCACCAGTGGCGTTCGTGCGAGAATGCGACAAAGTTTTTTAATAAAAAAATGGCACGCCACTGACTTTCGCCCGTTTGAATATTTTTTAGAAATGTTCCATCAATTCTGAATGAAATTGTTCGCTTCAATTTTTTTCGTTGGATGCACCGTTTTTGAGGAAAAAAATAAAACATATTTTATTGTATGTAGGTTTTGTTAGTCTTTTATTTAAGGGCCTCTTTTAATAAAGCGTGGTCAAAATAAAATTGCAATTCAACAAAAGTTGATGTGAATGTGGGTAAAAAATTTTCGATTGCGAGATACAGGATGTTCAAAACTCTTTGAAATAATTAATAAAAATAAATAAAACATTAAAATTTAAACACTCTGTATCTCGAAGACAAAGCATATTTCGACTTACGTTTATAAGAGCTTTTTTCACAAAATAACTTCGGCAACAACCCCCTAAAATATTTCGTACTTATTTACAAACACCCTTAAAATGTAATATTAATTTATATATTATTAACTAGCGCCCTCTATGAAATATCCAAAAAATAATTAGACCAGCGTATAATAAAAATATTTCGCACCAAAATGCTATTTAAAAAAATTTATTTTGTCGCTCTGTATCTCGAAAACAAGAGGAGATAGACATATAGTTCATAAGACAAAAAATTCTTATTTTTTGTCATACTATCACCCCCTGTATATACGGGAGGTCTCTCTGAAACAGCCAATAAGTTAAGTTTCAGTCTTCTAATTCTGAAGTGGATAATTTTGTGGAACATACAGTATAAACTTCCAGAAAGGTTATATATAAATAAAAGAATGTCACATATAAACATAAGGTTTTATGGAAAATCACAAATTAGATAGACTTTTATGCTATCTGTGTGTCCTGGAAGCGTATTTATGGAAGACCACACTGGCCCGAGATCGCTTCATAAACGGAATCTGAAGGCTCCATTTATTTAGCCGTGGAGGCTCTATTCACTCAGTAATAGTGTATTAATTATTTACGATTCCATTCGGAGAGACCGGGTTTCATTTAGAAATCGTATAAGGAATGATTGATAAAAAACATTTTTCCTTTATATTTGGATTTCTTTGAAACTAGAAAATGGGATATCTAACGTTTCATACTTTTCAACAATGGCAGGGAAAGAATGACTGCCTCCACAAAATCCTCGCCAAAGGCTAACACAGGGTTGTACAGTATATAGGCTTTCAATTGACGTGGTTGGTGATTTTATGATTGCTGACATGGTAAAACATTTTTCAGTACCTATTTACTACTGTAGTTTGAGAACTATTCGTAAATTATTTCACAACAAATAAATATTTAATATACAGGGTGTTACAAATTAGTAGGTCAAGCAGTTAACCACATATTCTTTGGACAAAAATAATGGGACTTTTCTTATGTCACTTCTCATTTCAGAGACCCATTTTCAAAATACAGGGTGTCAAAACTAAAATTTAAAAAATGATTTTTATTGATAACTCCGATGATTGTAGAGATATTTATTTGAAATTTAGCACATCTTAGGTCGGCACACTTTTTATGTAATTTTGGTTTAAAATATCAAGGCGCGAACGGAGGGGAGGGGGTTGCAGCACCCATAAACCCCCTATTTTTTGAGTGCGCCTATGCTTTCCGACTATTTTTTTTTATCTACCGGCGTTTTATTCTACTTTTTTAATATTGTAAGATTTTTATTTGGGGCCTCGTAGACGAGATATTGTAACTTTTCTGGATACGCGAAAATTTCATTTATATGGTATCAATACAGTAAAGGACTTAAACTTTAATATATATTTATTAATGGTATAGGTACATTTTAAATAAAACGCACATCCATATGCTTCTAAACTGTTGGAACTGATTGGGGCTCGACTAACAACCAGATGTCGCTGTCGTCGCCCTCCTTAGAGCCCTGAAGTTTTACTTTGTTACCTTTGTGGACCATAAAATCGTTTGGGTAGAATTCAACCTGAATTCTTGTGTCGTCGTTCGCATTTAATTTCCATCTTTGGTTACGTCCACCATGTTTAGACCAAGTGAAAATGGCTCTGGTTACAGGACATGCATCGAGAACCTTCCTGGAAGAATACAGAGTGTTTTAATAAGAATTGTACAGTTTACAAATTTTGCTCTTTTTAATCTACGTAGTATATCGTAAAATAAATATGGAAACTTGCATAAGGTTGAATCGACGGTCCCCTCTAGACATCCTTTAATGAACCTACACTATACCGGGTGTATCAGAGTTAAAGTGACAAAAGCTTAGGGGAGATTCCGCTCAGCAACATATGTAAAAAAGTTCATATACAGGGTGTCCCGTTCATGTTTCAGTTTGTTGTAAACTAACATTTAAAGAAGTAAATCAAAATAAACAGATTATGGTTATTAATTATTTATTATTAATTAATTTCAGATTTTGTAAACTACTACACTACTATTACTAAAATAAACAATTGCTGAATACAGTAAATTGTTGATGGACATGAATGCTTAAAAAAAGTGATAAAAGCAGAAAAATATTAGGAAAGAAACTCAGAGACATACAGAACAAAACAGCTGCACAATTAAATAAATGTGCAAACGCGAAATACTACAGTAGATACTGAAATTGTCCTCCATTTCCTTCTATGCAACTTCATTTTTCTCGAAAATGGTACATGCTACCGAATTTCGACAAGTATACCTTTTTTTGTAGTATGCTTTAGAGTTTACAGAACCGTTTAGAAATGTAATAAATTTTGACTTTTAACATATATTTTTTTTCGATTGTACCCCTCCAATTACCTGTATCGGCGACACTGCTTTTCATAAAGAAACCGTTTGTACATTATTCTTAACGCACAGTTGATGTCTACTCGTGTACAAATTTTGACGTTTTTATCTTTAGCCGATTTTTAGATAATTAAGCAAAACCTTTTGGATAGTAACAACTTCAACACACTGTATCTCGAAAAAAGGGCGTCTAAGAAAAAAACTTTACATGAACTACCCCTATTATTTTTCCATAAGGAACTTGCACACAAGCTGCTTGATTTTACTTATAACATAGGTAACCGCTTTTGAGATAGTTTACATTTGGGTTGCTGAAGATATTTCAGTCCTTAGTAGGTATGGAGGTAGTTCTTTTTAAGCATGAAAATATATCTCGAATTGTAGTTGGTTTTTTGGCCCCAACATGTTAAATTAAGATATCATCGATGGTATTCACTTACTGGTTTCCAATATTACGAACTATATAGTGTCCAGGTGTGTCGCTTCCTTCCAATGTCCATATTTGGGTGTTTCTATTTTTCCACTGACCTATGGCTATATCCTTTTTTGCCCCATCCAAAACCATTCCCGTTTTTTTGTTTTTTATCATAAATTTTTGCGGGTAACCTTCAACACACGCCGAAAAAATGTATTTATAAAGACTCCAGATTATTATAATTAATTCAGTAGAATACAAGACGGATTTTTTTCACGTGATTCTTGCAAGATAAACTGTTTTTTAGGACGACAAGACATACTTTCATCCTCATTTAATAACCTTCCACTTGTAATAAATACATGATTTAATTTATTTCAACATAACTGATAATTGATATCTATACAGGGTGTTTTTTAATAACGTGCTAATATTTAAGGAGGTTATTCTTGGATCCATTTTAAGATATGTCCTAAAAGTCTTAACTTTTGAACTACAGGGTGCTAAAGTTTTATGAGAAAACATTTTTTTATGATAACTTTGGTATTACCCTAGATATTTTTTCATATTTGGTACACGCCTTCCATTCGTCGAGAGAAAATAAAATTCATTCATTTGTACGCTGTTATGAAATTAGGTACCTACTTACTAATAAGAATTAAAAACGATCTAGTAGGTAAAATGCAGATTTTGTTTTGCAAATATAAACAGTTTTGACAGTAGTCTATCCAGTCTAGTTGTCACGTATTTAAGTCATTAACATGCACTACATGTATGGGCTTGCTGATGGTACCGCACTAGAAGCCAGGCGGTTGTATGAAGACCGCTTTCCAAATAGAAATATTCCGGATACGCGAACATTTTCAAACATTCATAGAAGATTGTGCCAAAAAGGAAGTTTTAAACCAGACAATCATCAAAAAGCAGTACACCGTACTGTAAGAACTCCAGAAATTGAGATAACGGTTTTGAGTTCAATTGAGGAGCATTAAGTATAAGTATAAGAAAAATTGGGAAAAATTTGAATGTCTCACATGTTCTTATTTGGAAAATTCTCCATGACTTTTTATTATATCCCTACCATATCCAACGGGTTCAAGTTCTACTTCCTCGCGACTTTCCATTACGGATAAACTTTTGCCAATGGTTTCTTCATAAAGTAAATGAAAATTCATTATTTTAAACTGAAATTTTATTCACCGATGAAGTCAACTTTTCCAGAAACGCCATCCAAAACTTCCACAACAATCACATTTAGGCTGAAGAAAACCCACATGTAATCTTGGAATCCCGTTACGAGGAGCAGTTTTCCGTTAACGTGTGGGTTGGAACATGCGGTAACATATACAAAACCTGTACAGACGCGATAATAAAATTATTTGTACAACAGAAAATGCATCTCGATGATTAGAAGGCGTGTACCAAATTTGAAAAATATATAGGGTAATACCAAAGTTATCATAAAAAAATATTTTTTCATAAAACTTTAGCATTCTGTAGTTCAAAAGTTTAAGACTTTTAGTTGTTTATGTTCATATGAAGTTTTTTTCTTAAAATGGACCCAAGAATAACCTTAAATATTAGCACATTATTAAGAAACACCCTGTATAAACCTAACTTGAAAAAATAGCTTAAATATTGTTTGATAACAACACTTACCCCATGTAATTGCAATTTGTATAAGTACTACACAAATTAATGTTTTTAACAACATGATTTTGCTGCTTCTGTTGCAATAGTCTTTCAATATACATGCTCAGCTATATATGTATATGTAAGTGTATGCATCTCATATTAACTTGAACTCAGCCGATAATCTTTGGAACTAGTGACACTGGGTTTTCCATATTGCTGATATTTAAGGTTCACTTGATACAAAAATACGCAAAGTTGATGTTTGGAAAATACCGTTATCACACGTTAAACCAGTTAGAGATAGATATGCAGTACAAATCAAAATTCAATGTTCTTTTTATTTATATCGGGTTGGTTTTCTATAATACAGGGTGTCCCACTAAGGTCGGTGAGGTACGATATTAGGGAAAGTATAGGCCCTAGAGCTTCGCGAAATAAAATTGACTAATAGTTTTCAAATTCGTAGTTTGGTCGCTAGGGGAGCAATCTACATAACAAAACAGAGTTGAATTTTTCTCAGAAATGTTTCCTTTTCAGGTATGTTAAATAGTACAAATATGGATAGACGGATTCATTGGGCATAACTTTTGTAATTGACATTTTGTTCTATCTCTCGACAGAAAGGGTGGGGGAAGCATCTAATACCTGATCTGAAAAATACATTTTTTTAAGTATTAGCTCATCAAAAGCCCATAGTGTTATACCTCGTTGTAAAGGTATTTTCATGCTTTATCTCGTGGTGAATGCGTAATGTCATTTACCTCAACATGGAAACCTATAGATGGCGTTATTTCAAAAGAATACCGTTTTATGGATTTTCTCATAAATTTTAAATGCAATGCTATAGTTTCCTTTACATAAATGAATTCAGCACAAAAAATTGATGAATATAGTATAAGTTTGAAATTTCTAACAAAAGTGTTGTTTATTCATTGGCGCCATTTATCCAAGTTTAGGTTATTTCACGATTTCTTAAAAAAATGAGATAGCGAGATAAAACTTTTTACAGGTTAGTTTTAAGAGCATAAAAATAGCTACATTTTGACGTCAAAAAGGGTTCGATAACTTTTTTTGTCATCAAGTTATTCGCAAATTAGTGAGCAAAAAATAAATAATGATAATGAATGAGGAACACGACACTACCGAAAAGACATTTAATTACCCGAACAAAATGCGTTTAACCATAAGTGGAGGTCTGTTTTTTAGGTCTGTACGTGTTCCCTGGAATACCAATCCCAAATATTGTTTAAAACTTAAATTGGCAATTCGAAATTAGCCTGGTAAGTTGTATCATAATTTAGGAGCGTTGCCAGTAAAGGTAGGATAAAACTCGAAACGATCGTAATAAAAATTTAAAAAAGAAAAAAAAAGTTTTGAACTGTTTTTTGAGGTTAGGGAAAAATCCTGATATGTCTTCAGCTGCTATAAATACATGGAGGGTATCCATACTCTGTTATATGAGGATTTTTGTTGTGTGCCTGTGTATTTGGATGGTCAGATGGATCTGGTCTGCGACAGGACGGGCCTCTCGTAGACGGCCCATGGGCTGAAGCAAACCGAAACATTAGTTTGCCCAACGGATGGAGCATTAGGATTGTTACAGGGCATTTAACGGGTTACGGTATATCAAAACAAATTTTTTCTAATATAAAAAATATATTGGCAGACATGCCTACCTTTCAGTAAAATACGTCGATAGAAATAATTTTTGAACCGAGAATCGACAAAAAAGCAAATGTATTGTTGTGTTTTATTGAATTTGAAATTTTGATCGATTCTTTTCTCGACAACCAAAACACAAAATTGTCGAACAAACACAAATTTTAAGGGTGAATATGTTTGAAATAGACACGAAAAGTGTGTGTATTACTTTAATCAATTTAAATGAAAGATATTTACCAATAGTATACGTTAAAATGTTGTATTTAATCAATTTTCACAATAAAACGTATCGACTGTCAAAATTATAACAAAAAGTGAATTTGCATATTCACAAAACTATTTAAATGCACTCATGTACTACAATTATGTTATAGAGAACAGTAAAGAACCATATTACAATATTAAATGTCAATTATAAGATCTGGCATGATCACATTTAATAAAATAGTGAACTTTTGACAAGTCATCGACGGAGGACTAAGGTTTTTTCACATGTAATCCTGATTCATTCAATAAAAATGATATGAAGACAAAGCATAGTATACCTGTAACCAGAATATATGTGTGGAATTAAACCTATGCATCTGTGAAAACTTTTATGTACCATATAAATGTTGAAATTTGTTTGTTCCGTTAGAATTTGTAAATTTTTAATTGTAAAAGTGTATCAGGACAGCAAAATCATATGTGCATAATGTAAAAGACCCTCATAACTCCATAAACTGTGTATAAACTCCAACCAAAGTTCAAATTGTTGTGCAAACTTTATAAATACTTGACGGATCGGAGCACTTTGAAATTTTCTTTCGTTTACATCTGAAAAAACGAGTAAAATCTTTATGAAAGGTGAAAAAAAGGTGGTACTAAAGACAGTGAAAGGACAGACATGCTTAGAATTAATCTATTTATCAATATTTAGTTGAAATTTGTTAATATAAGTAAAATTTTGGCATAACTTTTAACTTAACCTAGAAACGTGCAACTGGTGTCAAAAGAATCAGAAAAATGTAAGGAAGCTGAAAATTTAAATTTCGTGCATCATAATTCAGTCTAAAAGTTAGTATTTGCATAGATAAAATTTCAAAAATGTTGGTTTATTGTTGCCATGGTAATTTTCATTTGTTTTTCACGTTTGATAAAAGTAATCTCCGGGCTCGAGGTATCCAGTCTTCCATGTTTACCTGTAGCAGTAACATCGCTAGTTTGCTCCTAGAAAAACAATTGCTATCAGTTAAAATCAACATGTTAGTGAAAATTTCAGCCATCATGGTGGTGAATTGTCGTAAATATATGTAGCTGTCAGAAGTCCGAAAAGTCACAATAATAGATAGATGTGACAAAAGTTCGAAAAGTCATTCAGCAATATCAACAATAAATTGAAACTAGGTTAACGAGCATAAATAAAAAAAGTGTTAAGTGAAATCTATAAAATAAAGTGCAGTGCATTTACATCTACAAGGAATATTCGGCAATCTCCGTGGCGAGACGTCATTTCAAGGTGGGACATCAGAACAGCTCGACTACATGAAGCAGAATCTACAGTATAGCGAGGTTACATGCAAATTAAATACCAGCAATAAATTTACGTTCGTAAGTGTCGACAATTTAGCTAAACAAATTTGCAAATTTCACAACTAAAGCGCTATATAAATTCCTACATTGTAAAATTTCACTGCATTTATGTGTTATTAATACACAATTCCATAGTTGTTCAAATAAACTACTTACAGTATAAAAAATCATTATACACTGTAATAGGGGGGGAAATTTCTTGTGTAATTCATTTAGTATAAGGAGCATAATCTTAACATCACAACAATCCTATGATAAAAAATTCCTGTAATATATCGACATTGTGTAACTTGAACATATCTTTCATTTAGAAAAATATCGACATTGTGTAACTTGAACATATCTTTCATTTAGAAAAATTAGAGTAATAAAAATCATCATATAAAAGTTTCAATCAAAATAAAAAATAAAGCAACAAAGGAACCCACACTCTGAGAGAGTCTCATAACAATCATAACTATAACAACAACTTCATATAAAAAAAATAAAGGCGTTCACAAAAACATAAAAGTATATAAATTTAATTTTTATCTATCTGTACCAGATCATATCTTTATTATTTATAGTTAAAGTAAAATTTTTTGTAGTTTATTTACGTTAAAGTGATATAAAATGATAATGGCTGAATATTTAATATTATTAAATATAATTAATATGACACTTCTTTATTGGTATTATTCAAATGCATATCCTAATGAGTACAAATTTCTAATTAAGAGGCATTTACTGCAGCTTTCTTTTCAACAAAAATCGATTTTAATTTCGTATTTCTTTTTCTTGAAACTTCATCGACCAGCATCCATCTATCGCTGTCGTCATTTTGTTCTTCAGTAAATTCTGCTGCACCATCTTTATCGGACAAAACTACGTCTGTGCCTTCGACTTTCAGAGAAGTGTTGCCGCTAATGTCCAAATTCCATAATTTGTACTCTTTACCCTCTTTTAGATACGATAAAACTCCTCTAAAAACAAAAATAATATTTTAATGTATTACATAAAGCAGCCAATATTTTCTCTCAGTTAAAACCCAAGGATAGAACAAGCAAAAGCAGCTTACTCATTTGCAACATTCCGGATGAGGTAATGCTCAAATCCGTCCGCTTCCAATGTCCACAATTGCGAATTCTTATTTTCCCATTCTCTCATTTTGAGGAACTGGTTTGGCACATCTAGCACCCTTCCTGTCTTTTTATTCTGTATAACAAATCTCTCTTGGTGGTATTCAATATAAATAGGCGTTGGTTTCGCATTAATTTCAAGTTCTTCTTCGATCAAGAGCCATTTGTCGCTTTCATCATTTTGCTTATGATCAACACATGCTACGTTGCCATTTACGTCGGCTAAGATCACATTGGCGTCTTCAATATGGATCCCTGTGTCACCCCTAGTATTCAGTTTCCATAAATCGAAGTCTGTGCCGTTTTTGGAATATGTCAGAGGTCTTCTAAAAATGATTAATTAATTATTTGTCAGTATATTACTTAGAATAAATATCCATAGATTCACAGCCACACAGAAAAAAAAAGTTGGGTATACTTTTTATGCGACATATATTTTTCGTAGTAATTTGGCCTCCTGAACACGAATCTGGGGTCAGAATTGGCCCATCACGTCACAATTTTTTCCTAACCTCAAAAAACTTGTGAAAAATAGTGAAAATTGATGAAAATTTACTGGGAAAATTTGGAAAAAAATTTATTTCCACATCAAATAGTACATTTTTATGTAAAAGACTCTGCTGAATTCAAATCCACTGTCAGAATTGAGCTAGAACGTGTGGTTTTTTTTCTAACCTCAAAAAACCGAGCAGGAATCGCTATTTTCAAATTCTGAGCGGATTTTGACCAGATATTGTATAAAGGGGTTTTTTGGGTCGCTGATTACGAATATGAATTCACATTGTAAAAATTCAAGATGGCTGATCCAATATGGCGGGGGGGATTTTTTTGAAATCCACCGATTTCAGTAAAATTTGGCATCATAAGGATTGCTGGTTGATCTCACCTTCATTAATCACACATCTGGAGCCAAATTTTCATAAATCAAGTAAAAGATTCCACTCCGTCTAAAAATGTGACCGCTTAAAAAAATGACTTAAGGACTCTACACATGTAGTGATGTGTAGTGTGATGTGCTTGTTTCCATGAAGACAAAAAAGTTTCTACTTTATTCTTTCATTTATTTAGTCGTGCCTGGGCTTATGGTTTTCCAATCAGAATTTTTTAACTACTATGCAGTTTTCCTATGGCATTTAGATGCTTCATTTCTTAATAAATTTAAAGTTCAAGGAAAATGACACATTACTGCCACACAGCACATCACTGCATCCGCTTATGCCTTCAATCTAAAAATGTGACTTTGCCGAAAAAATGCCGCCTACTCGGCCTAAAATTATGACTCTGCCTACAAATTTTACCTTGATTTATGAAAATCTGGCTCCAGATGTGTGATTAATGAAGGTGAGATCAACCAGCAATCCTTATGATGCCAAATTTTACTGAAATCGGTGGATTTCAAAAAAGTACACCCGCCATATTGGATCAGCCATCTTGAATTTTTACAATGTGAATTCATATTCGTAATCAGCGACCCAAAAAACCCCTTTATACAAAATCTGGTCAAAATCCGCTCAGAATTTGAAAATAGCGATTCCTGCTCGGTTTTTTGAGGTTAGAAAAAAAACCACACGTTCTAGCTCAATTCTGACAGTGGATTTGAATTCAGCAGAGTCTTTTACATAAAAATGTACTATTTGATGTGGAAATAAATTTTTTTCCAAATTTTCCCAGTAAATTTTCATCAATTTTCACTATTTTTCACAAGTTTTTTGAGGTTAGGAAAAAATTGTGACATGATGGGCCAATTCTGACCCCAGATTCGTGTTCAGGAGGCCAAATTACTACGAAAAATATATGTCGCATAAAAAGTATACCCAACTTTTTTTTTCTGTGTGGCTGTGATTATTTGGAAGAGGGTATTTGGAATATGAAAATATACTTGTCAGTTTTTAGGGACAGCAGAATGATAACATAAATAACATAAGAAGGAGTAGCTTACCCACTCGCAACGTTGACGATGGAATATCCCAATCTGTTTTGTGGCTTTAAAGTCCACATCTGCGAAATTCTGTGCTTCCATTCGCCCATTCTAAGAGCGTTTTCTGCTTCTTCTAAGATCATGCCTGTTTTCTTGTTTTTTATTAAAAATTTCATATTAGTTTTCTTGGACCGTTCAGTAAATAACCATTTGTCATTCTCTTCAGCAGATTCTTCATAAATACACATAAGAGAATTGTTCTCCTGTGATAAGAGAATATTAGGATAATCAATTCGTATTTGTGTGTCACCCTTAATGTTCAACTTCCATATATTTTGGGGAATGTCATCATCATCAGGGCAGTTTAGATCAACTCTGGAAAGTACCTAGGATAATTATAAATAATATAAAATATATGAGTTGAATTGACAAATGCATGAGAGGATTACAAAAAATAACAGCAAATTTAATATTCTTGGACATACAGTTTTCTAGAAATAATTTTATAGATTACCATCTATTAACATACTGTGAAAAAATTCGATATCTTTTAGATGTTGTTGAATCAATAATTAAATTAATTGGCGCCCAAATAAAATGTGTTTGTTGTCCTGTTAATTCGTGACGTCATATAGTGCGACAATGACAGGCATGAAGGCTCGCCAGTATGAGCATAATAGGCTTCCCATAGGTGCGTTTCTTTGGATTAGGTTCCATCTCGTCTACAAAGGATTTGGCCGACAAGCAGGTTGTGTTTTCGGTCGCACTAAATGACATCACAATCATGTATATGTAATTAATTTGTAGCAACAAAGAATTTTTTTGTTACCCTCGAAAACAACAGGACACAAATTTTCAAAATTCAAATCGAAGTAGTCTCTAAAATATTCTAATGGGCCATCACCGTAACAGCCTGTAAAAAAAATAATTTACCCATTTGCAATGTTGCGAATAATAAAATATCCAGATTTATTCTGTGCCTCCAAAGTCCATAGCTGGTAGTCTTTATCTTGCCATTCCTCGAGAGCGGTTTGTTCTTCTAGTGTCAATATCATTCCCGTATTCACATTTTCTATAACGTATTCGTATTTGTCTTGACAATCCTCAACATAAATCCTCTTATCCGTATTAAATTCTTGTTCGGCCAATGACCACATGTCACTTCCGTCGTAGAGCTTATACGCATTGTAAACCGGTTTACCGCTCTTGCTGATAAGAAAAACGTTGCGACCTTCAACCTGTATAAATGTTTTGCCTTGGGTGCTCAGCGACCATATTTGATAATCCTCGTCGTTTTCGGAATACGTCAAAGTTCCCCTTAAAATGCAAAAATTAAGAATAAGCACATATGAAAGTTAATAACGATTATGGGAAGTTTAGTATAAGACATTTTCAACTTACCCACTTTGAACGTTGACAACGGCATATCCAGAAACGTTGTGCGAATCCAAAGTCCACAGTTGACCATCTTTATTTGCCCACTTGCCCATTTTTAGAATCCCTTCTGATGATTCCTCCAGTACAGTTCCTGTCATTTTATTCTCTATCATAAACTTCTGCTGGTAGCTTTCAACGTAAATAGGTTTCCTTTTTACGTTAGTTTTCATGGAATCTCGTTCAATCAACCTCCATCTGTCGCTTTCATCGTCCTGTATGTATTTAATATATACTGGTTTGCCGTTCTTGTTGGCCAGATTAACATTAGGATATTCTACTTGGATCAACGTATATCCACGGGTGTACAGTGTCCACACTTGGTTCTCTATTCCATTTTCAGAGAAGGTTAACGCATTTCTAGAAATATAGAATAATAAAATAAGACAGTAAAGGAACCATCAGATTTGTGTCATCCTCTACAGTTACCCCGAGAGTTAGAAAAAATGATGTATTGTAATAGCTTACCCGGTAGCGGCGTTGATAATGGAATACCCGGATTTATCTTGTGGTTCCAAGGTCCATAATTGCCTCTCTCTGTATTGCCACTTTCCTATTTTAAGAGTTTCTTCTGCTTCTTCTAAAACTGTTCCTGTTTTCTTGTTTTCTATCACAAATTTCGTGTTAACCTTTCTGGATTGTTGGATAAACAGCCATCTGTCATTTTCATGACCTGTTTTATTATAAAAACAGCGTAAGCCATCAGTTGACGACAGAATGATACTGGGATGTTTAACTTCAATCCGCGTTTCACCATGGGTGTTCAGTTGCCATATGTCATTGTCCTTACAAGTTATACTATATCTAAAATGTATGATGATATAAAAATATGAAGGACGAAAAAGACATAGACACATTGAGATGGGATAGAAGGAGCAATGGGAGCATATTATGTAAAAGCTATAGTGAGCAACGGTTCGACAGTGAATGTGAGCAAAGAACTGGAAAAAAGAAAATTAACATTACGGGAAGATACGAAGATAACGAAAGAGGCGAAAAAAAGAGGAGAAAACAAAACGATAACAGAGAAAAAAGAAAACAAAGAAAAATTAATAACACGGTTATAAGAAAAGTATAAAAATAATAAGATATGTGTATAGAGGAGTAAAACGGGAAAGAAAAATTACCAATCAAAAACAATATTTTACAAAAATAAGAAAGATGAATTTATAGGAGATGAGGAGGAAATCCTAAAACTGTTGAAAGAGTATTTTGACAAATTGCTGAATGAACCTAAACATGAAAAGTAAGAAATCAATGATACAACAGAGAGGAGGCAAAATACAGAAGATGAACCACCTAGTTTAGAAGAAGCAATAAAAACATGAAAAAATTAAAAAAGTCAAGGTGGGATCACCACAGAAATTATTAAGTACGGTGGAAAGAAGAAAAGGAAAGAATTTATATTGCAACCGATTTTTAAAATAGGAGATATAAAGGATTGCCAAAATTATAAAGATATGGTTCTCCTCAATGTTACATACAAGATCCTAGATCAAGAACAGAAGATAGAAAATGAAATAGGAGAGTACTAATGTGGATATAGAAGAGGGAGATCGGTAATTGAAAGCTATGAACATCAAAAGGAAACCCTTCATTGATTTCAAAGAAGCGTATGATAGAATCAGAAGAGGTCACCCACGTAAAGTCCTGAGGGAAGTGAATATATGCCCTATAATAATCAATAGACGTTAACACAAAGAAACAATACAATAAGAATAAACAGAAAGCGTTTAGGAAGACTTTCTGCTCGAAGGAGCAGAAGGGCTCAGGCAAGGAGATCTACTATCACCACTTTTATTTAATCTAGCGCTGGAGAAAATACTCAGATAGGCGAACATAAATAGATCTGGCTTAATGTGCCTACCGCAAACTATACCAGACCATATTGTAATTTTAATAAAAAGTAAAATAACTTAAAATTCGAATCTATACTTATTTTTGGATGGGAAGGGTGGACATTAACAATATGGTGTACGCGGGAGCGCAAATGGCTCCATCTGTCGTGCAGACTCCCAACTGTGCCATTCAAATGGCTACACTAGAAAGCGACCTGCTAACTACAGGTACTTTGTTGCACGACTGCCACCCACAGAGGGCATAACACAATGTTTGAATTGTCAGTGTTGCGAGAAACAACTACTCCGAGAGCTATATGCCCCTACCGGCATTGAATATACTCGCAACATCTAGTGCAACAGTTATGACACACTGATGAGGACTAATAAGTCCGAAACCGGTCTGTGCCTGGTGGGTTAAACTGACAAACGATCCTAGCTGTTGCACTAGGTGTTGCGAGTATAATTCAATGCCGGTAGGGGCATATAGCTCTCGGAGTAGTTGTTTCCTGCAACATGACAATTCAAACATTGTGTTACGCCCTCTGTAGGTGGCAGTCGTTCAACAAAGTACCTGCAGTTAGCAGGTCGCTTCCTACTGTAGCCATTTGAATGGCACAGTTGGGAATCTGCACGACAGATGGAGCCATTTGCGCTCCCGCGTACAATGTATTTCCTTGTCGTGACGATAAGACGAAGAACAGCTGGATCGTTTGACGGTTGTAGCACCTATGACACACTGATGAGGACTAAAAAGTCCGAAACCGGTCTGTGCCTGGTGGGTTAAACTGACAAACGATCCTAGCTGTTGCACTAGGTGTTGCGAGTATAATTCAATGCCGGTAAGGGCATATAGCTCTCGGAGTAGTTGTTTCTCGCAACACTGACAATTCATTAACAATCCCTATATCGTAGGTGTAGAAAAAGCACAGACTTGGGTAGGCTATATAATGGGTACGCAAAGGTGGAATGTCACACAAAACGATAGAAATAAGCATTGGAAAAAGAAAGAGCGCAGAAGGCCACGATCTAGATAGAACTATGAGGTGGAGAATAATATAAAAAGGATAAACATGGGAAAACGGAAAACTACCAACAAAAAGCTGATGATATACGTATACTCGTATATAATTAGAACTTACCCAGTTGCGACGTTGACAATGGAATAACCAGACCTCATTTTTGGTTTCAAAGTCCACAGCTGCGAGTTTGTATTCTTCCATCTGACCATTTTACGTTTTTGACCACCGTCATCTATCACCAATCCTGTCCTAACGCTTTCTATTACAAATCTCATGTTTAGTTTCTGAGATTGTTCGATAAATAACCACATGTCGCTTTCATCGTCATGCTCAGTCTCGGAACACTTCAGGCTATTATATTTCTGTCTCAAAAAAAATGTAGAATGTTCAGACTTAATCCTAGTATACTCGTCTGTATTTAAGGTCCAAAGCCTGTAGTATGTGCCATCATTTGAGCATGTTAAGCGGTGTCTGGATATGACCAATGAAAGGGTTGTAAATAAGGTAAAACTGACTGTGATCAAAGCAAAGACGATATAAAAGGTGACTTACCTAGTTCCGAAGTTGCGAATAATAAAATATCCAGATTTGTTTTGTGGTTCCAAAATCCAGAGTTGAGTGTCTTTGTTATGCCAGTCGAGTAATTGACGTGCGTCTTCTACATCTTCTAAGACCTTGCCTATCTGTTTGTTTTCTATTACATATTTTTCTTGATAACCTCCAAAATGGATATGAAAATAATTTTGAGTTTGATTATTTTTCATTATTCCCGAAGAGATTGGAAGAGATAGAGGTATTAAAAATCTGCAATTTTTCTGCACAGAGGTTATCATTTTCCGTATAGAGTTAACTTAGATGGAGACATTATCATTGTAAAACAGACTAAACTTTGTAGTATAACTTAACTGTTCAACTGTACA